TTGTTACTTGTATGGAGCAAGAAGCATAAAGATATTTACCGACCACCAACCTTTGACATTTGCGCTAAGCAACAAGAACACAAATGTGAAGATGAAGAAGTGGAAGGCACAGTTAGAAGAATATAATTACGAGTTAATTTATAAACCAGGTAGCACGAATGTAGTCTGGAAGAGAGCTATTACTTCCCTTCTATGAACTTGGAAAATAAGTATGAGCGACATCCGAACGCTCCCAAATTTTTACGGCACCGCCTTATAAACCGCAATAGCGAGGTTAATGGGCATTGAATAGAGAGAGAAATTCCATTCGACCTTATCGGAAATTATGCGTTGCAGTAAGTGTGAGCGACCTTATCGGAAATTATGCGTTGCAAGGACTCGCCTTAACAACTACGAAAGACTCTTGAGGAAACAGGAAAATGATTTGGCAAATCATAATCGTGTTAGGGAAGAACCAAAAGAATATCAAGAAGGTCAGAAAATATTTGTCAAACAGAACAAGAGATTAGGAACCAAACTATCTAAACGTTTCAAAGAAGAAGTTGTAAAGGAGAATAGGCACTCAACTGTCCTGACTCAATCAGGGAAAATAGTCCATAAGAGTCATATCAGAAACTGACTTACTTATTTACCGGGTTTCCAGTTCTTAATTACAGGTTGCTTAGGGGTCACAGAAATATTGGACTACTCTCAATCAGAAGTGGTTCTTATAGAGAGTGGAATAGGAAAAATACAAACAGGGACATTCAAAATTTTGCATGTTATTAACATCAAGGAATATCATGACACTCTAGAGAGGATCAAGGACAACTTGGCCAAAGGAATTCCAGACAACCACCCACTACTCCCCTTCCTACATAATGACATCACTACCATATCTCACCTTATAAATCGGCTAATGCCTGAAGAGAGATCTAAAAGATCTCTTGATGAGATTGGAACGGCGTGGAAATGGCTGGCAGGTAGTCCAGACCATGATGACCTTATGCTTTTGGAAAACAAAATCAATGAGTTAACAGACAACAGCAATAACCAGCTAATAATCAACAGAGATCTAATAGAAAGAATGCAGGAGATAACGAATGCGACAAATAGTATTTCAAAAATTTTAAAGACTAGTGAGGACTTCCGTAATACCCTCATATTGCAGGCAAAGTACAAAGTTGAAATTTTAAAGGAGGAAGTAACGAATATTAATTCGGCCATTCATTTAACAAAATCCAACATTGTAAACACATTTATTTTATCGGAAATAGAAATTAGAAAAATAGAAGAAATGTTTAATCAAGATGAAATCCCGTTTCAAAACATTGAACAAGCTTTAAATTTCGCACGAATAAAAATTGTAAACAATAGTACTAATATAATTTACATTATAAGCATTCCCAAAACTGTAAAAGAAATTTGTAATGTCATAACCATAAGACCTGTAAAAAATCAAAATACTGTTTTAAATCTTGATTATAAGAAAATTGTAAAATGTGAAAGAGCAACATTTGGAATTAAAAGTCCTTGTCAAAAAATAAATGGTATTGAATTATGTCTAGAATCTAATGTAGCCAATATAACAAACAATACATGTATTCCTAAATTAGTAACTAATATCCCACATAATTGTTCAATAGTAAATGCAGATCACATTAATAATTTAGAGGAAATAGAACCTGGATTAATTTTGATAAATAACATAAAAGAAAATATTGTCATAAATGGAAACGAAAAAAATGTAACAGGAACTTATTTAATAAGATTTAGTAATTCTACAATTAGGATAGGCAACAAAAATTTCACCGTCGAAGAAGCTGCTTACTCCAAACCGTTGCCTGCGCTACTAAAACACTCAGCTAGAAACAACTACACCGAAGAAATACTATCTCTACAACTACTAAAAACGTTGCATGTGAAAAGTAATAAAAGAATCGAGCGTCTAAATACTGAATTCAAGACCAGTTTATGTTTTAACATCAGTCTCATATTAGCATTGGTCATCCTCCTGATGGCAGTAAAAATGAGGCAAAGGCGCAAAACTAGTATGAAAATTATAAAAATGACCCCACATGAAGGAATGTCTAGACCTCAAATAGAAATGACTGTGTCAGAAAGCCAATTGGCAGCCGGCACAACAGAATCTGTTATCAAAACAAAACAACTAGCAAACCACAATATTAACTTGAATCAACGCGGCAGTCTTTATAATCTGCCATATTTCTAAACACATCAATCGAGACGCTTGATAATTCGAGAGGGAGGAGTTAACGGCTCACCCTAATAAACATCAAACTAAATATGCAAACCAACTAGTAAACATTCCCATCATTATGCTGCGCAAGCAGTCCGACAAATCAACAGGAATATGACACCAGGGCAGTCATCCGCCACAAACACGCGCACTAATACCAGCGCACCGCAAGTGATGACTCAGCGTAATAACGAGCACGACCAGGCTGCAGTATAATATTAGTTTTAAGTTGAAGTTAATCATAATTGTAAATCCAACAAAGAGAGGTGCATAGCACCGCAACATAAATGTTAGTAACAAAATAAAGAAACACCATAGCAGTGTGAAATAAACTTTAACTTCTAACATTAACTTATATGTTCAATATATGTAGAATTAGAACTACATTTAGTACTTTTAGTACACTTATAGGTCGAATTTCCAAAAACCCCTTTTGTACATCTTTCTAACTTTCCATCAGTGACCCACATTCCAAATTTCAGAATTCTAGCTCTTCCCGTTCGCCTAATACAAAGGGTACCATATTTCGTACATTTTAGTACTTTTCGTACCCTTCTAGTACGAATCTCCAAAAACCCAGCCTTATCTCACGCCTACACACCAACACCAACCCACACTCAAAATTTCAAGCTTCTAGCTTTAGCCGTTTCGTCTGGGCGATGATCTGTCAGTCAGTCACTCACTCACTCACTCACTTAACACTAAGCTCTTTTATATATATAGATAGATAATAAATGGATTCACTTTGGTTGTACATACAAATTGAAGAAGACGTATTTTCTTAACATGGTGTCAGGTGTGCTTAATTCAATTATAACCTAAAAACACTAAAGAGCAGAATGGAGGAAAAACACCAAATAGCGGCCGCTTTGCCAATGATGGATTTTAAGGCTACAAATTTAGCAAAAGAGTGGAAGACATGGCACACAAAGTTTAAAATATTTTTAAGAGCGTCAAATCTTGAAACAGAGCCTGACAAACGAAAGGTTGCGTTGCTATTACATCATCTTGGAAGTCAGTCGCTGGAAATTTTTAATTCCTTTGATATGGATATTGATACAGTTACGTATGAAGACTTAGTGCGAATGTTGGGATCCCATTTTACGCCAAAAGCAAATATTGTAATGGAACGGCACAGGTTCTTCACTTGTAAACAACAAGACAACCAAACAATTGATGAATATGTAACAATTTTAAGAAACTTGAGTTTAAATTGTGAATTTGGAGACTTGAAAAATGATTTGGTCCGTGATATATTTATATGTGGATTATCACAAAAACATTATAATATAAAAGAGCGGCTTTTAACAGAGGATAAAATTAACCTAGAAAAATCAATTGAAATAGCTAACAATATAGTTTTGGCTAAATCAAATGCGGCTATGTTACAAGAGGATGGTTTTATGGAAGGAAGTATTAATGCCATGAGTAAAAAATCAGGAAGAATGTACGGCTACAATTCCAACAATACCAAAAGTGAGAGCGGGAAATGTAAAAAATGCGGCCAAAGTCATAAATATAATTGCCCAGCCGAAGGAGCTAAATGTTTTAAATGCGGAAAATTGAATCACTTCGCTCGAGTGTGTATTAATCGGAGAAAATTTGTTAAGCAGATGCAGGCAGAAGAAGAGGCGAATGATGGTGATGATGATGATCAAAATAGCGATTTATTTGTTGGAGTGCTGAATAAAAGGGGCAAGTCATCTACTGAGTGGAACGTTCATGCAGTGATAAACGATAAAATGATACAATGTCAGGTAGATACGGGTGCGCAGGCGAACATAATGTCGGTGGATACGGCTGGTATGCTGAAAATCAAAGATAAGCTGAAGAAAAGTGCGACAAGGCTATTCACTTTTAGTGGAGAGAGAATACCAATTCTTGGAGTAATTGAGGTTAAGCTTTGTTATAAAGAACAGGTATTAAATTCAAAATTTTATGTAGTTAATATTTCATGCAAATGTATTATTGGTATAGAGACCGCTATGGATTTAAAATTAATTAGGGAAGTGAATAATATTACTATGAAAAATAAATTAGTTGAAAAATACCTAGATGTTTTTGAAGGCCTAGGTCTTTTACAAAATAGTTGTAATTTGAAACTTAGGGATGGCATAGAGCCGGTGGTGGAGCCCCCTCGTAGAATTCCATTCAAAATGTATAAAGGCTTAAAAGAAGAATTAGATCGTATGGGGAAAATGGGGGTAATAACCCCGATAAGTGAGCCAACAGAGTGGGTGAGTTCTATTGTTCTGGTGAGCAAGCCCAATGGCACTATAAGAGTTTGTTTGGATCCGAGACATTTAAATAAGGCAATTATGAGACCACACCATTCATTTCCAACCATAGATGATTGCAAGGCCAAATTAAGTGGAGCAACAATTTTTACAGCATTGGATGCCAAAAGTGGATTTTGGATGGTGCCCTTAGACGAGCAGTCCTCCAAGCTATGTTCATTTAATACACCTTTCGGGCGATATCGTTTTTTAAGATTACCATTTGGTATTAATGCGGCCCCTGAAATTTTTCATGCCGAAATGGTTCGATTATTTGGTGACATTCCCGGCTTAATTATATATATTGACGATTTCTTAATATATTCATCAAATATTGAGCAACATTTAAAGATTTTGGAGATGGTGTTAGAAAGGGCGAGGAAGGTTGGACTTCGGTTTAATGAGGATAAATGCAAATTTTTACAGAATAAAATGAAGTTTTTAGGTCACATTTTTGATAGTTCAGGAGTCCGTGCTGATGATGAAAAGATAAGAGCAATTGTTGACATGCCTAGGCCCCAAAATGTTAAAGATTTACAGAGGTTTTTGGGTATGGTGAATTACGTGGGCTCCTTTATAGAAAATCTCTCGTTGAAAAACAAAAATCTTAGGGAGCTCTTACGAAATGACGTTTTGTGGCATTGGGCATCACATCACGAGAAAGAGTATAATGATTTGAAAAATGAAATAACCAAAGTACCGGTGCTTACTTATTTTAATCCCGATAAAGAATTGGTATTATCGGTGGATGCTTCGAAATCGGCATTAGGGGCTACAATTTTACAGGAACGAAGACCGATTGCGTATGCATCAGCTTCGTTAACGGATTCCCAACAAAACTATGCACAAATAGAAAAGGAGTTGTTCGCTATCTTATTTGGCTGTACAAAGTTTCATCAGTACATTTATGGGAATAAGGTTATGGTAGAAACAGACCATAAACCTTTGGTAACCCTATTTGATAAACCACTATATAAAATTCCGCCAAGACTACAACGTTTCATGTTACGCTTGCAATGCTATAATCTCGTAGTTGTATATAAACCAGGAAGGGAATTAAAAATAGCGGACACACTGTCAAGAGCGCCACTAAGTGATGTAGTAATGACAGAACTTGATGAAGAAGTATCACTTCACTGTAATTTTGTATATTCGAATCTAGAGAGTTCATTTGCGGACATGGAGATAGTTAGGAAAGAAAGTAAGACGGACGAAACTATTTTGAAATTATTTGAATATGTGAAGAAAGGATGGCCAAAGAGTAGAAATGATTTGGACCAGGATGTTATGCCATACTTTAAGATACGAGATGAACTTACAATACTAAATGACATATTATTAAAAAATAATCAGGTTGTGATACCAAAAAATTTGCGAAGAAAGGTATTGCATAAGATTCATGAAGGGCATATGGGAGTATCAAGATGTCAAAATTTGGCACGTCAGTCTGTATACTGGCCCAATATAAATAGTGAGATTGAAAATCTGGTATCAAACTGCGAGGTGTGTATGAAATACAAAAATTCGAATACTAGACCTGATCTAATGCCGCATGAAATTGTAGATATTTCTTGGTACAAAGTGGGGTGTGATCTTTTTGAATACAGAAATAAAATGTACATACTTGTAGTCGATTATTATTCAAAGTTTATTGAGATCGAAATCCTCAATAATGGCTACAATAGCATGAACGTGATCACTAAACTGAAATCTATATTTGCACGGCACGGTATACCGAACATCTTTATGTCCGACAATGGCCCGCCTTTTACTTCAAAGGAATTTAGAATATTTTGTCGTGATTGGGAAATTGAACATATTACATCAAGCCCATTTTTGCCAAGGTCAAATGGCTTGACTGAACGGTCTGTGCAAACAGTTAAAAAAATGCTATTAAAATCTTCCGAGAGTAATTCTGACCCCTATATAGCTCTATTGCACTACAGAACAACACCGAAAGGTAGTATGCATAGTCCTTCCGAATTACTAATGTCTAGGTCATTACGCACAAAAATTCCTTCAATCTCAAGAAACCATGAGCCAAAAATAGTTGATAAAGGCGATTATAGGACAAAGTTAGAGACGAACTTAAAGAAAACTACAGAATACTATAATAAAAAGTCCAAGGTTTTGAAACCAGTTGGTGCGGGCGATGCGGTCATGTTTAAGAAAACACCATCCAGCTATTGGCAACCTGGAAAAATTGTGGAGGCGTGCAAAGAGCCAAGATCGTTTGTAGTTGTAGATGATGGTGGGTATATGTATAGGAGAAGTCAAGAACACATAATTAATAGATCCTCGAATGAACAAAGAAATGTATGTAACGATAATCAAGACACTAATGAAAGAGATGTAAGCCCTGTAGATAGTGATAATAATTATGAGGAACATTTATTTGAACATAATAATAACAGCAATGAAAATAATAGAAGTTATTTAACAAGAAGCGGTAGAGAGGTCAAGAAGCCAAAACGATATGAGGAAGATTGTTAATAACAAAAAAAAAAAAAAAAAACATTGCATTTCATTCATTTATTTATTTATATTATACATTGTACTTGAATACTTAAAATTATTATTATTATATTATATATACTTTATAGTTTATTCCTTTAAATTGTTTTATACTTATTTACCTGTAAAAGGGAGATGTTGTATATGTTAATAGTTTTAAGTAACATGAATTACCCTGTTTGTAATTACTTACCACTATGTATGATAATAATCACAACATAGTTATAGTTTATATAAAACATAATAAATGGATTCACTTTGGTTGTACATACAAATTGAAGAAGACGTATTTTCTTAACAGCTTCAAATTATATTTGTTGCAAATAAAGAAATAATATGTTTGTATTTTCAAAAATCTTGAAGGTGCTGCACACAGGGTTACCGTTGTATGACTAAAGTCGCAATTTGCAACCTTTTTGATGCCCTGTAACTGTGTTTGCAACTTTTAAAGCTTTGTGCGACTTTTCTTCTTTGTTATGTTTAAAGTTGAATTTTCCTTTTTATGTGTAAATTCAAACTTATTTGGATTTTTCTACGTCGTTTTTGAGTTCCAAGGGTATCTGACATATTCTCGGACCAGTTTTATTGATAATTTTTTTTTCTGTGCGACCTTTTTTCAAGGGAACGACTTTTCGTGTAACTTTTTTAAAATTGCCAGCGGTAACACTGGCTGCATAATCAAGTGACTCAATAATTTGAGATCCATCTTGTTTTTAAGCTCTCATTTGTACGTATTATGCTCTTGAGTTCGGTCAGAATGGAGATGTTTGAGTTTTTTTTTCTTAATAAAATAACTCAATATGTGAAAAGGAAAGCATTCATTCTTTAGATAATGCTTTTGTTCGTTCAGTAACAGTGTTGCAATTTTCGGCAAATTAAATACATTATTATTTGGTCCGACCCACATTTAATTGTTTGCATTTTCAACGGTTATTTCCGAGGTTGTTGTCCTGAAAACCGAGGGTGGCATGACCAAAGACATAGAAGCCGTAAAGACTCGACAAAATGCATTTTGAGAAAATAGTTTGTGAAAACATATCCAGGGGGAATCAAGGTTAACAGAGGCATGTTAACAATAAAAACGCCAACACGCGAAAATGACTGTATAAAATTTAAATAAAATCACAGGTCTGCACTTAAAATATATGTGTTCATTTTATAAGCTTAAGATATTGCACTAAAAACATTTAATAGTGTTCGCTCTGTTGTTATGATATCGTAACAACAGAGGAAAAGCCATCTGTTGGGAATTATTTACGTATCAATTGTCCTATCTTTATACTTTTATGTCTTTGGCATGACCAAAGACATAAAAGTATAAAGATAGGACAATTGATACGTAAGCAATTTCCAACAGATGGCTTTTCCTCTGTTGTTACGATATCATAACAACAGAGAGAACAATATTAAACGTTTTTAATGCTATATCTTAAGCTTATAAAATGAAAATACATATTTTGAGTGCAGGCCTCTAATTTTATTTACATATTCTTCACACATTTTCGCGTATTGGCGTTTTTATTCTTAACATGCCTCTGTTAACCTTGATTCCCCCTGGACATTTTTTCATAAACTATTTTGCCAAAATGCATTTTGTCGAGTCTTTACGGTTTCTATGTCTTTGGCATGACAACGATTAGGGATTTTAAGTCCGAAATATGATGCGTTTGGCGTAAGGAGGTATACGCTGCGTAAGCTTCAAATTCAACAATTTTTTTTTTACGCGCCATAAGTCTCTTTGAAAATAAGATTATCTCTTTAATTATCAAAAAATTTCTGCTGGCAGGCATCTTTTAAAAAACATTCAACGTTCCGTATAACAAACAATATGTTTATCGAATTTTCAATATAACGAATAAACAAAATATTTGCATTTTTACACCAACCGTTTTCTAAATTGAATACTACGTATACGAATGGGCAAAAAAATGCATTTGTGTTGTACAAATTTATGAAAAATTTTATTATTTTAAATATATGTCAAATAAATCCCCACAGAGGAGGTTAACACGACAACAACTTACAATCTAAATGCCGTTTTAATTA